TTGATTTCATTCAGGGACATGATGAGACCGAAGTTAACTATTGCGTGGGGTCACAGCAACAGTTTTGTTACCCAGGTGTCTTCCCAAGAAGACACTCCAGATTCAGACCTTTCATAACCTGATGGAAAAAAGCCCCAGAGCCTGTGGCTGACACCTTCGTCCCCTCCCTGCCACTGTGCTCTGAGGTGGACGGTGTGAGGTTTTGGGTTCCCTCCTCCCCCGCAGTTCTGGGGTCAGATCGCAAACCAGTCATGACCCAAGCAGGACTCTGCATGTGAACGCGGTGGTGCTTTTGGTTTTTAAGACTTAGGTTCATGAAATTCTGATTTTGTGCCTTTACCCTAAGAGCAGATTGATTCTTTAAAACGTTCTTGTAAACCTTTGCCTTGCTCAGCACTGGCCACAGAGGAGAAAACTGGCCTGGGCCGAACTCATGGGCACAAGCCCCTGGGAACCACCAGATCGTGGTGGGGGGACTCCTTATCCAGTTCTCCCAGAGTTCTCGGCACCAAGAATTAGGAGCCTGAAGCTCCACAGAAGCAGCTTTCCCTTGGAGGAGCACTGCACGGGAGAATCAGCCCAAGACCACACTCGTGATTCAGAATAATTCGAGCCTGGTGAGGATTTTCAGTAAGCATGGTGAAAGTTCTCTTTTTTATTGCTAGGAATTTCCCAGCTTTCAACACATTCTCCCTTACGTGGGAGAAATTCATTTTCACATTCTCCCTTTAGAAAGGAAATTTCCAAAGCTGACCGCTGGTTAATCATGCTGAGCAGAAAACCACAGTACCCATGTGTGCATGTGTGTGTGTGTATAGGGGTGTGTATGCGGTGGGGTGTCCTTCCCGTGGGAGCTGCCCAGCAGTTTCTGTGGCTCTACCGATCTCTAACCCCCTCTCTGCTCACCCTGATGCTTATAGGATCAGGCAGTAGTTCCAAGGGATGGTGCATAGGTGTCGTGCCAAGAAAACAAGGCAGCAGGCAGTTCCTTGGCCCCACCCACCTGGGGAGCACTGCACACCACAACACAACACTCCTAGACTGTCACAATGTGGGGCACCTGGATGGCTTAGTGGGTTAAGCCACTGCCTTCGGCTCAGGTCATGATCCCATGTCCTGGGATCGAGCCCCGCATAGGGCTCTCTGCTCGGCAAGGAGCCTGCTTCCTCCTCTCTCTCTCCCTGCCTCTCTGCCTCCTTGTGGTCTCTGTCTGTCAAATAAATAAAATCTTAAAAAAAAAAAAAATAGACTGTCACAATGCCTGTTGGTCTAATCAAGGTTCTAATAAGTTCTGCACTTCTCTTTTTTAACCTGAAAATGCTGTTTGATGTTATTTAACTCAATGTTTTCCAAACTTATTTGATCAGAGAACCACCCCATTCTCCATTTGTTTTTGAGGAGCATATCATCCCATTAGCAACCCCGGGAGCCTACTTTGGGGAAATGGCTCTAAAAAGGGAACAGAAGGCAGCCAAGAGTTTACAATCTTTGCATTCCCTCTGCAAGTCACTAACTTTGTATCAGAATCTGGCCGACAGAAAGCATGGCTGGCCCCAGCACAGCCCTGGCAGAAGGACTCCGATCGCAGGCCCCACAGAGGGTCCCCCCAGATGCCATGGACTCTCAGTGCAGGGGGCCAGGAGTGTCAGGAAGGAAAGGGAATTTTGGGCAAAGCCTGGCACTGCTTTGAAGGCTATCTGTTGGAAAACCTCAGCTGGCAGACACTTGGAATGAGTTTTCAGAGTGTCCGAGTTTTGTTTTGGGTTTAAAACACCACACAGGGCTACCTTTTCATAGTCACAAGGCTGCCTGTGACATAACACAGGGAGTGTGTCATCCGAGGAGGAAGCATGTTCTCCTTCCCAACCCAGGGCACTGGCATTTCCTCTCTCTGGTGTGTTCTTCTTGCTACCAGAATACACTCGGCTCAAGGCCACCATTTGCGCCGACTCCAAGGACTGTCATACAGAAAAATATGGTGTCCCCCAAAGTTGTGCAGAGCGGTGGCGCCATCCAAGTGTTTGCCTGGTTCAGGGCAGAAGCCAAGACGCTCATTTTTTGGCGCTCTCTGTTTCTTCAATCCTGCCTCAGTGTCACCTCTCATTAAAGCAGGCCCTATTTTCCCCCCTATTATAATAGCCTCTTTGTATTTTTCATAGCATTTATTATTGCCTGGATCACTACATATTTTTACTTTTTTGAATACTGTCTGTCTCCGCTAAAATAAAATATCAACTACACGAGGGCAAAGCTTTTTGGTTTTGGACACTTTGGGATGACGAGTGGTCGGCACACCGGAAGTATGGGTGGAAAAAGTGAGGAACATTGTTTCAAGTTTGTTCTCCCTTGGGTGGGGATCGGTTGTGGACAGTGGACGGGCAAGGCCATTGACGGAACTGTGGGCTGTGTGGTGGTGAAGGCGGGGGGCGGGCTTCGGGTCCGGGCCCGACTGATCCTAAATGCTTGGGATGGCCCCCTGGGCTAGCTGTGGTCCCCGGGCACGGGAGGAAGGACAGAAGGACAGGGAGCAATAGAAACGAGTTTTTATTTGTAAAAAGTTACAAAATGATATTGTACAAAAATAAAGTCTGTAGAGAACTTTGGTTGTATAACACAAACGACTGAGACAGATCAGAGAAGTCAGAACTTCCAAAGAAGTGCACTCCCTACCAGATCAGATGGTAATCGCAATGATACAGAAAAATCACAAACTTTACCCTTTTTGTGGATTTGGTAGAGTGATTAGCTTCAGTTAAAACTTGCTTGTGGTGATGCTGGGAACGAGCTGTCCACATCCACTGTGTCCTAGAGCCCCTGTGAACAAGGACTTTTCATGGGAATCGGGGTGGGAGGGGGAACTGAGGCTGACCCCTGGGGACGCCAGCCACCAAGTCTGCCAGGATTGTCTGAACCAGACAGACGGGCCTGGGGCTACGTCACACTGTGCTTCACGAATGACCAGAAGGCTGGGTCTGTCACTGTTTGGAGCAGGCTGCTCTTCAAAGAGGTCCCCACTCTGGCCCAAGGGGCAGGGGGTTCCTTTTACTTTATCTCCCAAGTTGTGCAAGGGGAGCAGAAAAGACAGGGACAGAATGATGGTGAACTTGGGTCTTTTGGGGCTTGGGGGAAGGGATGTCTGCTGAATGGTGCCTCTTGGTTACTTTGCGAAATTCACGATTGTTTGAGGGAGGCGGGTAGGTCACTTAATTGCTAAATCTGTCATACTTTCAGGCTATTAGCCACTCGGATAGTGACAGATGATTTCCTTGATAAAAATCCCTTTTATAAAACATGCAACAAACTCTTAATATAGGGCCCAGTTCCTCGTGTCTCGTCAGCTGCCAGACAATCCCATATCCGGGACTTGTGTGGGGAGCTGGTTTTTCCCACCTTATGCCCCTGCCCCTCTGAAGGCTTTCATTGTGCAGGTAGGACATTCTGTGGGCATGAGACTCGGTGTGTGTATGTGGCTGGGCCAGATATCCTCCCTTCTGGGCCACCTCCTTCTGACAGGGACAGCGACTGTTGCCCCCAGGGGACAGCCAAGGGGCTTTATGGCACCTGGATAGATCCCGTTTCTGGAAGGTGGGCCACATGCTCCCTGGCTGCGCTGGGCGTGAGCACGTTTCTCTAGAAGACAGTGGTGGATGGAAGGACAGAGGAAGAGTCGGGACAGACCATGGCCAGCTGACAGGATTTGTATCTTACTTTTAGGTCAACACTGACTCCAGGACTACTTACTAAAAGGGATTTAATCTTTCATATACATGGTTATGCATGTCATAGATAGATACACGTGGAAGGGAGTAAGGGCTTACATACAACAGAAAGGGGAGCGTGTGGCAGACCTGCTCAGCGATAGAACAGTGAGGACGTAAAACCAGAGCCCACGGGTCTTTGCACACGGCTCCCGAGAGGGGACCTGTCAGAAGCGCTCCATCTGACGCATTCCTTTTCTCAAAAATAAAAATAGGGAAGAGGCTGAAATGGGGGGGGGGGAGATGAGGGAGGGCTTTTCTAAAAAAGGTAAAGTAAGTGATTTTTGCCTACTGAGAAACTTTTTAATACTTTCAAAAGCATGGACCCTTGTTCCCAATCAAAATTTCCTTTGTCACTTTTCTTTGCATTTTGCGACCACATATACTTTGGCACCTTGAAAAGAAACTTTAATAAATAAGGAGAGAAAAGAGCAACTCATTAGTGAACGGTAATAAATAACAATAACTTAAATCTCAATAAATATCTTCTCTATATTTCTGTATCTGAAACAGATGCATTGCATCGAGTAGCTTCTCTGGTCACTGGTGACCATGCTTAAACGGAGCTGGGGGGGGTATGTAACCTCTGTCTCTTTGTAAACCGGCAGGCCCAGCGGGTCCCCCGGCCCCGGGGCGGCTGGGGGCCTTCCCCACTTGCTCTCCTGCAAGAATGCTGCCCAAAACCACAACTGGTTTCCTGTTTCCAAGGTCATCAAGGAAATACCTTTGGGTTTGTTTTTAGTCATGAGGACAGCCTTTTTGGTTCCTAGCCAACTGCTTCCAGCCCCGCACACCAGGTTCCAAATCCACCACCGACCGACCGTTGGCAAACCATGCTGGCTTTAGGAAACCTCAGGCTTCGACTTTCAAATTCAAAGGTAACTATCTCTTGTGTCTTTGCTTTTGGTGTTGTGTTGTGTTGGGTTGTTTTGTTTTTACTTCCTCCTCTCCGGGGTATGTTTCCGCTGAGTGACAGAAAAATAAGCCTTTCTTGCTTTCAGCAGTAAAACATCATGACAAGGAACGACATCAGGATGACCGTTTCCCAGGTGTCTCCAGATGTGTGAAAATAAACCACAGGAGATACACTGGTCTGGTTTCAAGTGCATCCGCAACTGCTCCCGGGGCCGGCCGTGGCAGGCTGTGTCCGATGATGGGAAACACCCAACCAGGGACCCCTGCCCTGAACTGCTGGTGACATCGGCTCCCGGCGACATCGGCTGCCAGCAGGGAGAGTCCAGATGGCTGTTTCCTCTCCCGTCCAGTTCTCTGTAGCTGAATCTCCCTCTACCAGGCTCCCCCAATGGCTGCCTTCCTCTTCCTCCTCCTTCTCCTCCTCCTCCGTCCTCCGCCTCCTTGGTCCTCATCTTCCATTCGGGGCTAACATTTCCTGGGAACCTTGGTCCCTTTCTTTGCACTGTAGCAGGAATGCAATACACAGCAGTCTCTGGAGCCGGAGTCAGACACACCCACACCTTTTAGCGGAATGCTTTCTTAGAATATGGTAAACCAGGTTGTCATCTAGAAACGACAGGTCATCATCGTAGGCGATGGGTCTGCAGCAAGCCTGTCCGACTTTGTCACTCACCAGCCTCCTATTTTTGGATAAGTTCTTTAATATTTTGTCGTACATTGTCTCGGCCGCATCGCAGGAACCGCTGCAGTACCGAAAAATCAGTTCCTCCTTGGTTTCGTAGCCCAAACCCAGGTCAGTGACGTTTAAATGTATCGCAGTCAAGACACAGCCCCGGTTTCTGCCCCGCTGGCCTCGCCGCCCTTTCCCCCTGGAACCTTCCAGGCTGCCGGCCGCCGCCTGGCGATTCCGCTCTCTCCGGGGTGGCACGGCCATTTGCTTCTCGGGCGACCTCTTCAGCCTTCGGATGGTGGCCTGAATAAAATCCATGACGTCGTCAAACTGATCAGAATAATCCTCTGGCATGTTTGCTGTGCAGCGAGAAAACAGAAAAGGTCACGTGAGACGACAAGGAGACGAGAAAGCTCGTTTCAAGTGGGCTTCTCCGGGAAAGTGCCTCCAAAGTTAGCCTAGCAGGGACCCCCAGTGGAACCAGCAGCTGGTCAGACTAAGTGACCAGTGAAACCTTCCCCACCGACCCCTACCAGGAGCAGAGGTGAAAATGTACCCTCAGAAGGGAAAGTATCCAGTTAAAAGAGGAGACTAAAATAAATGAAGGGATGACTGGATGAATGAGGAGACTAGCATGCGGGGGCAGATACACTTCCTTGCAGAAAACAAGTCCTCAGAAGCGCATCTTCCGTTTGAATAACATCTGTTTTTTTTTTTTTAATTTTCTATTTTTTTTTAAAGATTGTTATTTATCCATTTGATAGATAGAACACAAATAGGCTGAGCTGGAGACAGAGGGAGAGGGGGAAGCAGGCGCCCTGTGGAGCAAGGAGCTCGATGCGGGGCTCGATCCCAATATGCTGGGATCGTGACCCGAGCCCAAGGCAGACGCTTAATGACTCAGCCACCCAGGCTCCCCAACATCTGCCATTTTTAACCAGTCTGTGTTGCAGTTGCTGTGAGCAGGTGGCTCCTTGAAGGCCATTTTTCTTGGCTAAGAATCGGAGCTGGAGTAGGGGCGCTCAGATGGAATGAGGAGGCAGCTCTTCTCAGAAGTTTGAGAACTTGGGGTTAGAGCAAGGATTCCCAGTCTCTTGGAGTTTTCTGCTCTGTTGCAGCATCTGCTTTGGCTGATCAAGTAAGAGGTGAGGAACTATTTGAACAATTTAATGCATTTCTAAAAGAAGAAAGCCGTTTAAACCCTCTCATTATTAGGGCCTAGAACTCTTATGTTCCCCTCATCCCCATTTCAGGTAACTTAGCATGTTTAGGGTTATCTGTGGCTCAGAAAAAGACACCTCGAAGTAGTCATTGGCAAGAGTGAACGTATTTTGCTGAGACCACGGTAAAGCAGAGAAGGATTACTTTGTGCCTGACTCCTGCCGAATTATTTTGTCATGGATTTTTTTTAAAGGTTTATTTATTTATTTACTTGGCAGAGAAAGAGAGAGCACAAGTGGGGGGGCGCAGCAGACAGAGGGAGAGGGAGAAGCAGGCTCCCTACTAAGTAACGAGCCCGATGCGGGGCTTGATCCCAGGACCTTGGGATCACAACCTGAGCCAAAGGCAGACACTCAACGGAATGAGCCACCCAGGGGTCCCTGTCATGGACTGATTGTTAAAACACATATTAGGAATCCTGTGTGTAAAACAAAATCCAGCTAAGGCAATTTAACTATACCAATTGCTTGATGGATCAATTGATAAGTCTACTGATGAACACTGATCTATCTAGATTATGTAGAACATATAATCTAGGATACATAGTAATCAAAAGAGTATAGATTGTGTGGAACCCCCAGAATGCCTCATTGTCTGATATCTGGGATTTGGCTTTGGAAAGTCCTGCTGGCTGGAAGTCACGAAGCTGCTCCCACCCTGGTCTGGGCCCATTGTCTCTGTTGGGATTACCGTAGCCGCCTTCAGCTCCCTCTTTCCAGCCTTACCCTCCTTCAACCTATTTTCCACTCAGCAGCCAGAGCTGTTAATGTGGGTCATGTCCACTCTGCTCCAGACCCTCCAATGGCTCCCCATTTCTCTTGGAGTAAGAGTCAAAGTCCACACTGGCCTAAGGCCCTCGCTGGCCTAGCCATTCCTTCTCCTCCAGCCTTTGTCACCTCTGATCTCTTCTACTTCTCTTCCCTTACTGCCTCTCCTTCAGTTTTCCAGGCCTCCTCACCACTTCTCTCACACATAGGGTTTCTCAACATTAGCCCCACTGACATTTTGGGCAGGATCTTTCTTTGCCGTAGGAGGCTGTTCCCCACATTGCAGGTTGGTGAGCGTCATTCCCGGCCTCTAGCCAGGGGATGCCAGTGATATCCCCCCACCTTTCCTAGACATTGCCAAATGTCCCTGGGGGCAAAAGCACCCTGGGTTGAGTATCACAGATCAGACACAAGCAGGAGCTCGGGGCCATTGTGCTGTCTGTTCCTTCTCTGCATGTAACACTGTTCCTGCACAGCACCCAGTGGCTCACTCCCACAACCCTTCAGGTCTTTGCTCAAATGTCACCACCACCAAGTCCAGCCCTGACCCCCATGTTTAAAATACAATGTGTCCCCAAGCCCGAATCCAGACCCCCTGCCTTGCTTCCCCACCCTCTACCATAATACTATCTTTCAGTGCATTATAGAACTGATTTCTTAAGTTTTTTATTTGTTGTCTGTCTTCTCTGATAGAAAGTCAACTCCAGGAGGGAGAGACCTTTGCTTGGCTTGTTCCCCATGGATCCCAAGCACTTAAAATAGGATCTTGTCCCTGGAAGCCCACCATAAATTTTGAATGAAATAGGGCACTTCATAAGGGGAGAAGAAGGAGTCCTTAATTTTTCAAGGGGACGCTTAGACTTCGGTTAAGAACCACACCATCATGAAATAAACAGCTCCCAGGTAAACAGCCCATGACGTCACATGGGAAGCAGTCATGCCCTGAGTGACACCGTCATTTTCCACCCGAGAGTGAAATATCTACCTGGCCTGCTTCCTGCAGCAGGCAAGTCTCTCAAGGTCTGACTCCCCATAGGGCTTGTAAGGGGCTCTCTCTGGGAGGATTGGTGTGGGAGGAGCTCTGATTAATCATTTCCTTGGAACCACTTTCTAACTGAACTTCTTTAAGAAGTTTTCTGCTTAAAATACAAAAACCTTTAAATCACTCTGTATAAAGAAATGAATGGCTTGAAGAATGAGCTCCTTATGCTATTTGTGATTTTTTCCAATAATAAGCTCTGAAGAGGAAATTAGATGTGCTCAGTTTCAAAAAACCGTACTTGTATAGAAATCTGAACTTCTAAAATTGGTATTTTAGAGGTGATTAATCAAAGTTCCGCAAAAGTCTTCATGTTTCCCCAAAAGACCCTTTGTGTGACAAAGGACTCACACGAAGGGATCCCCCCTAACTCTATTCAAGAATTCTTGAATAGATCAGTAACTTAAGAACCTGGGGACATAGAAAGTCAAAATCGATTAAGAACTGAAGATTAATCAGAAATCAGGATGAAACATTACTAAACTCTTAACATAAACACATAGGAAAACATTCGAGTTATAAAAGTTCAACTTATATTGGTTTAGGGACTCATTAATTTATGCAATGATAAATTACATACTTTTATATTACTGGAGTTATAATAACAATTTGAATCAGTATTTGTTCTTATTTATTGCCTGATCCTTTCAAAGTGCCCCCAAAATCATTTTCCCACCTTTTTTTATGACATTTTGACTACATGGCTCTGTCCATTGGTTTTGCTTGCAGGTAAAATACAGAGCACCCTGCTAAATTTGAATTCACATAAATTGCAAATACATTTTTTGTATAAGCAGCCCTAAATGATGTTTGCAACTTACTTATACTTTGTTATGAGAACGTTTAGTTCCTTTATTTAAAATTCCAGTTGGCTTTTCAAGGTGAAGAGTATAGCAGAGAGAATGCACCAGCCGCTTATGCTTTAGGATGAGGGGGTAAATGGATTATTAATCCTGAATCAAAAGACTTCCAGGAACCTGGGAAGCAGTCAATAAATGCTTGATGTAAAACCGAAGGATATAGCTGGTACGAACTTTTCCTTCTGGTGGGAAAAATCTCCCTCATGCCTGCTGGATAATGTGGTAATATTTATCAAAACCCCAGTTTCAGGCTCCAAATGATTCTCATTGAGCTCAGAGGTTTTTTTTTTTTTCCTTCCCTTTTTCCTTTCTTCTCCTTAAAAAATAAAGCATAAATAAATAAATAAATATTTAGTTTACAAGTTTTACATGGGTATGAATTTTGGAAACCTGAAAAGGGTAACATTCTATTTTCCAAGAAGGGTCGGGTGGGTGGCCGACATCGCCGCTGACCCACATTAGATTTTCCAAACCACAGAGCAAATAGGCCTGTCTCTTCCAACTAGATTCCTCATTCCAGGCCTCTTGATGCTGACTGAGTTCCCTTATGGAGAGGCGCCTTAATTTATCAACACGAGGCACTTCGGGGGCACGAGGAGCTCTTGGCTTCACTGTGCCTATTCTTAGAAATTCTGTAGAGGCCTCGAACCCCGGGCTCTGGCCAACCCAAAGCTGCCTCTATTTTCCAAGAATTCATGGAACTGAGGGGAATGTAGGGGATTAGGGTTTGGATTAGTTCCCTAAATTAAAACTTAATGGCATATCACTTTCTTCTGCATCCTATAAAGGGCTTGGCAAAATGTCAGCTATACAAACAGCCCTCGTGGGTAGTAACTTTGATAGTAAAATACTTGCAAACCACAAAAAAGGAGCATCATTTTTAAAAAATAGGTCAAACACTTGCTCATTTCCCAGACCTGCTTGGAGGATATGTCCTGGAAAATCATGTCTAAAAGCTAAAGTTTTTGAAAAAAATCAAAATACTCAAATGCATTTAAAGTGACCCTTCAGTATGCAACCAGATATTTTGGCATTATTCTCTTTAAAATATTTTAACTTTGATGTGTCCTTTGTATAAACAGTGCTATTTAAACAAATGAAACCTTGTACTGGGGGAATATTTCTGGGAACAAACCGTTCACAGCAGAGACCTTGCCTCCCTTGATTATGGGGAAAGACAGTAAAGTCACCTCAGGAACAAAGGACTGGGATATTGACCATTTTGTAAAGGTAATTGAGTTTTTATAGGAGCAATGTAAGGACGCAGAGTACTTCTTGTAATAGCCTAAGTAAAAAGTACATAATTCAAAACATTATCTTAGTTAAGCAGGCATCCCATGGACAAAACAGTCTCCTAAATATTAGATTTCTCTTAAGAACAGTACAGTTAAATCAAAGGGGTCCTTTTATATTCATATCAGGTTATCCACCTCTCTGCCCCAGCCAGGCTGTTGAGCGTGTGGGAGGGGGGG